CATAATTGTGCCGTATATAGTTATTGAGAAAATTGATGATTTTCACAGACACTCGATTTCTCGAGTTTCTTCAAGTTTGACTTTAAATTATAGAAAATTGGTAGCTTCTTTCTTTTCTTCAAATCAAGCGAAATTATCTAAATTCCAATTCATCAACTTGATTAAATTACAACTTTCATTCATTTGTTAACTTGACATTAAATTATATAAAATTATATAGAAAAAAGGATGAAATAGTAACGTTACTTTTATGACATTTAAAGTAACGTTACTATTTCATCCAATCGCCATTTGTTTCCTATTGAGGTTATGATAGTTTTCATTTAAAAATTCTAAAGTGCGAACTTTCAAATATTATTACGTAATATATTAACAAAATTTACCTTCCTTAAATTCATGTTATTTTTACATTTTTACATAACAAATTAAACGAAAGTTTTATTAATTTTCAAATTATTTGAAAACATTGGAACCGTTTGATCATCAAAATTGTATATATTTTCGTTTGGATAATTAATTTTAACTACATGATGTATCGTTTCATTTTCGCTCGCAATAAATCAAAAAAAAAATATGGCAATCAATAAACAAATTCGTAGTAAATCATAAACGTGTGGCATGTGCAAAGTGTGACGGGGTGTGGGGGGATGGACGGAAAGGGTTGTTGGTTTGTTTTGTTTTGAGTGCAGGGGTTGATTACAAATATATGTTTCACTTTGCTGCTAATAAATTATCAAAATTATTATTTCCCAGTTATTAATATATTTCATATCAATAAGCGCAATTGGCGAGTAACGAATTAATTGCACCATCATTTATTGGTCGAACCTAACAACATTTTGTAACCGAGTTCGTTCGCACGCAAATAATTCATTCACTCATAAAACATAATTATTGCAATATATTAATTAATTAACTTAATTAATTAATTTAATAGATTTCTTCGTTTTATGCATGAAAATTAAGTGTGTAATTATTAAAAAAAATTAATTCATTACATACTAATAACTAAATACTATTAAAACAATTAAATTGTAATTTAATAACCTGCTAGATTTGTTTTAAATTTAAATTAAATACTTCTTAAATTGAAATTTTTAAATTAGACGAATAAAATGAAATCTTACTAGATGATATAAAATATTAATTATAACTATTAATTGAAAAATTGTAAAAATTTGAATCTAGAATTATTATAGGCAACCAAATTCACATAATTTACTTAGTGATTCAAATATGTACCGTCAGATTGCGTTTTATCTTGATATTCAGTGGCAAGTTGATATCAACGGATTTTGAAGACAATAGATTTTTCAACTTTGACTGTAAATTGTAGGAAAACGCCAATAGCTACAAATATGACAGACCACACATTGGAAAGCCCAAACATTCAGCTTTAATTTGATTGCT